ACAGTTATCCATGTATATATAGGACTTATAAAAAACTTAAATGATCATGTGCTTATATCCAGTGAAGAGAGATTATCCTGGTTTAGGATCATGACTTGCCTTTACATCTAGGAGTCATCTACGCCTTCACTTGCTCATTCGGTGCTTATCTGGTTATGATTTGGCTGTTAGCTAGGCCTTAGGGAGAGCTATTGGAAGAGTAGCCTACTTACTATTGTAAATTTTCCAACAACTTTTTATACTTTGAAAAACTTCAAAATCTCAAACTTAAGAAAAATTGCAAGAATAGTAACAGTGAACATAAGATTATTACTTTGTTTGCTGAACATTTCCTCTGCTGTCACAGTAATATTCTTCATTGTTTTTCTTTTTCTCCCCAGTCTTGGTTCTAATCAAGGGTCCCACATTGCATTTAGTTGCCATGTCTTGTTATTATTTTGGTTTTAGATATTTTTAAATGATTACATTGAAATAACTAGTAAAAGCCTGGAGAATTAACCTTTGAAGCTAATTTAAGAGCAGAAGTGCCAAAGTGTTTTTGAGGAATGGTGTCTTATGCTTTGGCAAGGGAAACTAAAAATTTTAGTAACTCTAGGAACTATATATATATTTTTGTGGTATGCAAATGTCTTGGTCAAAATTCAGTCCTATATTTTTATAAATAAATTCTTACTAACTATAAATATTTAAAGGTAAACACTTTTACTATGAAAGATACATGTGATAATATGATGAAGTCCACCTGTCTATAGTAGCCTGTCCTGGAAGTTCAGATGGAAACTAGCTTCGAATGAGTATTCAGTAAAAGTTAGACATTTAATTTTGATTGTAAATGTGGCTGATTTCCCCCACAAACCCTTTTGTGTTCCTGGACCTGATTCCAACATGCATGTGTGGGGGGGAGGGTAAAAGGAAAAAAGGGACACAAACTCAACACTCCAAGCAGGTTTATTGCTAAACCTGAGAGGGACCTCTCTATTCTGGCGAGCAGAACAAAGAAGGCGTCTCTTACAGGCTAAGAGGCTTTTTATGGCCAGGTTTTTTGACATACTTTTGAGGGGAAGGGTCAGGGAAAAGGTGGACTTGTGGCTTGCTGATATGTCCTCCAGAGAATGCTTGTAGCCTAAGTAAGATGAAACCTAGGTCTCTCTGAGATGCAGGTGGGCTTATTCAAAAAGGCGGTATGTCCCAGCTCTATCAAGGGGGTCTTCCCATGCACCACACCAAGCAATTCTAGAACACCATTAAGGTGTTCAAGAACAAATGAAAATAATTATTTGGTTTAAAGTACCTTAAAGTATCCTCACCTCGGCTTCATTGATGGCAGTTCCCATGCTCTCTGACCTTATTCCCCAGGTTAAAGGCTCCACCCTACAAGACTGACCTCCACCCTCCCACTCCAGAAGCCAGTGGCAAGCCTCAGGCTGTTTGTTGCCTGTGCTTCTGACTAATGACCTCCCCCTCAGGTTCTATTCATTTGCTAAAGAGACTGAGATCTCAGGAAGCACTTAACCTTTTGTCAGTTTAATGAAGGATACTGTAAAGTATATAAGTCAACAGCCAGATGAAGAGATACATAGGGCCAGGTCCCAATAAAAGAACTTCTGTCCTCTGGAGCTCAGAGCCTGGTTGGGTGGCTTTCTAGTTACCCAGACATGGAAACTTTCCCACAGAGAAGCAGGATGCAAGAAAGGAGATGAATTCTTCTCAGGGATTTTGTGAGGGCTTCATTGCGTAGTCATGATTGACTGAATCACTGGCCATTGGCTGATCCAGCCTTCAGGCTCAGCTCTTGGGTGGGGTCTAAAGTCTCTCATTAACATGACAAAACACCCATTTCACCTTTAAGGCTCTGCAGTGTTTTCAGGAGCTGTGGATGAAGACCAATTGTACTTGGGAAATATATATTTCTTGTAACTCAGAGTATCAGTGGCAAATAAAAATTATTTGGTTTAAAGTACCTTAAAGTATCCTCACTTCTGCTTCATTGATGGCAACAGGTGACCCACCTACCCCTCATATATCTTCTACACAGTCACAGGACTATATGGGTGGGTCTGGGAGCTGCCTTGCTTTAGAGCCCTGAATTTCTTATAGGAACTAGTACCTCTATGGGCATACTTTCCAACCCCCAGCAATATGAACACTTGATTGTTAGGCTGGAGGAAGGAAAAACAAGAACATGCAGACAGAACAGAGAGATGCCATAGGGGGAGAACAGACCAGACCCCAAGGTCCATGCCTTATATGGAAAGGGGACAGCTCTTCCTGAATTCCATCCTTCTGATGTGCCAACTAAGACTTGGATGTCAGCCTCCTCCCTCTTGGAAGGAAAAAAAGTTTCTAGTTGTCTATTATGTCACCTTTAGCCAATCATACCTCTCCACACCCCCTAGGATAGCTTGCCCACTCCTCGCCCTCCTAATCCCTTATAAGCCCCCACCTCCCTGACAGGGTGTGACTTCCCTGGCCTGTAATACCCAGACCGTGGAACATCACCCGGGAGTTGCACTCAAATAAACTACCTGGCCCTTTGTTGCCTGTCTTTGCCTGCTTATTTTGGCTAAAATTTATCTTAGATTGATTATAAAATATGCCACACTCAGGGAAGCCCGAATGTGGTATAGCTGATGCTGGGGTTCTTGTTCACGAAGCCAAAGAATGAGCTCCACGAACACTCAAGGTAGGAGAGCAAGGTACAGGCTTTTATTTAGAGATCAAGTAAAAGGACAGAGCTCCTGGCTCACAGCAGGAGGGGACAAGAGAGCCCGTAGTGGTACGTTGTCTACGGGTTTTATAGGCAGTTGAGGATTTTTGAGAACATGAAAGCTTAGGGGTGTGGACTTAAGTGGTCCCCGAATATTTAGAATTAACACAAGCAACTTCCTGGTCTGATGATTTCTTCCTGAGATACCAGCATCTTGGTCTGGGGGCATATGGAACAAGGCCACCTGCTCAGCCCCCAAGGTGGACTGAGGTATTGTTTGCTAAAGAGTCAGTTAAGAATTTCTAATGTCCTAACCTCTTGGGTATTAAAATGCAATCCTATATTTAAGGTGGGATCCTTCTTGCCTTTTACTATGTTGTTTACGGCTGGGCCTGCAAACTAAATTAGTTTGCTCTGTTTGCAAAATCAAAACTTCAGATCTGAAGGAGGAAAGACAGTACATAGGCCTGGGCCTTTTAGCATGTTAAAGTGAATCTTACACATGACTATAAATGATTAGCATAATATAAACATGTACTACTCTTCTTTATCTGGGGAATATTAACTGATCTCACTGAAGAATGACTCTAGAGCTGAGTGTTTAACACAGTTTTAGCAGGGAGTTTCCTTGCATGTAGTTACATTGCTCGGACTGAAAATATCCTGCCCTGGTTTTAACGGAGGCCCTCACCCTACTCTGACTACACCCACAGTCCCTGTCTCATGGCTTCCCATCAGACATTTATAGTTTGTCTCAGTCCAGATGCAGTCTGCTTATTAAGAGGTATTTAAATAATTTTTTTTCATAAGCAGTGTTGCTGATTAACACTGCTGCCATTCTAAGTTTATGGGGTTTCCAGGGAAACAGAAGATGAACTCAAGACCAATTGTAGGAGGAGAAGGGGTTTTGTTAACTCTTTACTCATACTACCAGAGCATTTGGATTTTTAATTACAATTTTTCAGTTTTTTAAATTTTATTTGAAAGAATTTGAAGCTTAGAGAAGGTAAAGAATTAGTACAAAGAACTTAACATATACCTTAAGCCCAGATTCATAAATTGTTAGTATTTTGCCACATTTGCTTTATTCTTCTTTCTGAACTATTTAAAGTTCCAGATATCATGGTCGTTTACCCCTACTTTGATGTGTATTTCCTAAGAACAAGGACATTTCATTTATATAGCCACCATACAGTTACCTGTAGAGAAAGTGGAAGTTCTGTGGCCAGAATTCTCACCTGGCCCTGGTCTGCTTGCTCACATGCAATGCTTGTAGGTGCACGCTTGCTCATGTATGGCTTATTAATACGTTATTATTTCCTTTGTATAATATAAATAGCTCTGCTCAGTGCTCTGAGGTTGCAGGGCTGCAAGGCAGCAAAGAGGCGCAGAGGCAGAGATGAGGTGCATTATGGACCTGCAGACTACTGGATGCAGACGTGATGCTAGTGCTCGGCCTACCACCATGAGAATAAAGCCGGGTATAAACCTTTTTACCCCAAGAAAGTTCAGTTGTCATTTCTGTCTTGGCGAACCCATAGTGAACTTTCCCAAGGCTGAAAGTCAAGAAGTTCATGTATGAACACAATGCGGATAGCTAATGTACAAATCTTACTCAGATTTTACCATTTGTTGGCGATGATAGTTTTTATAGCTTTGTTGTTGTTCCTGGTTCAGAATCCAGAATCACGCTTCACATTTATTTTCATTGTCTCTTAGTTTCCTTTATTCTGGAACAGTTCCAGTTTTTCACAGTAACAGTTTTGAAGAATGTAGACCATTTATTTTGTGGGATGTTCCATTTTTTTAAATGATTCAGATCATCCATTTTAGACAGGAATTACCACAGAAGTTTTGACACATTAGGGAGCACATTATGTTGCTTTATCCCATTATTGTTGATGTCATTTTAGATCAGTTAAAGTTGTAAACACCAGGTTTTCCATGTTAAGTTGCTATTTTTGTTGCTTTTGTAATGAATAAGTGGGGGTGATACTGAAACTATGTAAATATATTTTCCCTAATTAAACTCTCAACCACTAGTTTTAATGTCCACTGAAGACTGTTCCTGAATCTAATGGCATATCCTTCCATGCCAACTGGTTTTCTCTTTCATAGATCAGCAGTTACTTTGACTTGTTGGAAAATAATTTTCTGTGGTCTACCATTCTGAACTACCAGCCAGTAACAAAGTCCACTAGGCTATATACCACCTGTAGCTCACTAGTTCAAATTAGTATTTTATAAAATGCAGATAATCAAGATGCGTTTTAAAACATTTTTCTTTCTCTAGGTGTTTGCTGCAATCTGGAGGCAAGATCTTTCCTCAGTATGTGCTGGTGTTTGGGCTGCTGGCGGAATCACAGACGCTGGTAGAAGAGAACGCTGTTCAGGGAACAGAACGAACTCTTGGATTAAATATAGCCCCTTTTATTAATCAGTTTCAGGTAAGTGGAAGAGAACAACCAGGTGGCTGTTACCCAGTCTACCTTCTCTCTAGATTTATCTAGTCATTGTGTTTATCTGGATTAGGATGGTATTCAGTTCCCTAGAGCAACGAAACTTGCACGTGAAGATCAACCTGGGCATTAAACATATAGCCAAGGAATTCTGTTGTCCTATTGACAGAAGTCTATAGGTATTCCTCTGAACCATTGTTGTAAATGAAAAACAGAGTACTGGGCTTAGTCTTATGATAAAGGGAACTCCTTGTCTGAAAAAGCATAAACCAAAAGCCCATGTTCTAAATTTGAACCCTTAATTACTTTGAGGTGTAGGGCTGGCAGGGGGTGAGCAGCTCATGTTCAGGCAGGTAGTCAAGACTGCCTGGAGCAGGAACCTAAGGAGCTGAGGAAACTGCAGCTCAAGACAAAGCGGTTAAGATTCAGTGCTGGCAAAGGTACTTGCAGCAAATACAAATGTGTAGTTAAAATTGTGGGAGTGGCTGGAAGGCCTGGGGTTGAACACCAAGACACAATACAGGGGAATGCAGCTGTGTAAGTGAATGAAGTGGGATCGAAAATTTTTATTAAAGGCTACAGCTCTTGAATATGCACTGTCGGATCTTCCATGAACATTGTTGGATCTTCCATGAACAGGACTTGAGCAACAAATGTAAATTTGCTGAGGAAATTATTTTTTTCAAGGCAGGCTAATTTAAGGTTTTAGACTTTGTTTAAGCTCAAGTTTTTTTTTTTGAAGTGTTTAATAGTGAGAATACACCTACTGGAAAATAGCCGATCAAATTATTACTGTTATTTTTTTTGTGGTCCCAAAACACCACCATTTATCTCTCTACCTTATTCCCTCTTGATCCTGTGACATCAGCAATTCTTTAATTCAATCAATGTCTACAATATTTGATTCTGCCATCTTTTCACTGTATTTCCTGTCTCGTGTCCTCCCTTCCGAGATTATATTCCAGTCAGTATGTTTTCCCTATATCCCTCCCTCTTCAGTCTTTCTACTGGCCTGGGAAAATCCAGCTTGGTTAAATCCAGCTCTCTGCCTTTCTGTGCACCAGAGCCCCCACCGCTGCCTATGCCGACTGTGGTCTCCTTTCAGCTTATGACCACTCTAATCTCAAGAGGCTCCGTAAACTTGCCTGGCAATTCCACATTTCCCAGTCTACTCACCCATTTTTTTAGATGATACTGCCTCCTTTCCTCAACTAGGATAATTATCTGTTACACAAATGAGAGAACCAATGAAACAAAATGAGAGGTTAAAAAAAAAATGCTATATAATAGATCCCTCCTTATCTAGGAGATATGTTCCAAGACCTCCAGTGGATGGCTGAAGCTGGCTAGTACCAAACCCTATATGTACTGTTTCCTCCCATACCTCATGTACCTATGATGAAGTTTTATTTATAAATTAGGCACAGTAAGAGATTAACAATGCAATAGAACAGTTTAACACTGTATTATAAGAGAAATTATATGAATGTGGTCTCAAATTGTCTTAGTATACTGTACTCAGCCTTCTTCTGATGATGTGAGATGAAAAAATGCCTACATGATGAAATGAGGTAAACGACGTAGGCATTGATGTTATTGTTAGGCTGTTGCTGACCTGCGTAGGTTAGGAGGAGGCTCATCTGCTTCTGGCTGACAGCAGGTAAGTGAAACTGCAGAAAGTGAAACTGCTGCTAAGGGGGGACTACTGTACAGAAAACAACAAATGTATTTGTTTATTCAACAGATGTCTATTGTATGTACATTTTGGGTTTTGGGACTATAGCCATGAAACTAAAGAAAGAAGTTACTGCGCTCATGGAGCTAGCATTCAGACTGACAATAAACAAGAGGTAGACACAAGTAAAAAGATTAGTATGATAGATAGTGAGAAGTGCTAGGACATAAAGCAGGCTGAGGGAGGGAGGTAGGGAGTAGGGGTATGGATATGCTATTTTATAGGGGTAATGCCTAAGGAAAGGACTCAAGGCTACCTTTAGCAGACACCTGAAGGAAATAAGCAAATCATGAACAATTCAAAAGAGCAACAAGTGCAATGGCCTGAGGCAAGAGCATGATTGGAGTGTTGAGAAGTAGCAAGAAGAAACCAAGAGGGACAGTCACATGAAAAACGCAGTCAGGGAAGTATTGAGTGCCAGATCCTGTAGTCTTTTGGTCAGTATGAAGATTTTGGCTTTTACTCTGAAAGGGATGGAAAGCAACTGGAGGGTATTGAACAGAGAGGTGACACTAGGTGACTTGCTTTGAAAGGACTGCTGTGGTTGCTGCCAAGGAGCAGACCATTTGTGAGAGCAGGCCAAGGCATAAGGTCACTGCAGTGATCCAGGCGACGCGGGTAGTGACTCAAGAGTGGTAGTGGTGGAGGGTGGTGCAAATGTTCAGGCTGTAGATTTAATGGATGTGCCGTGTGAAGGACAGTTACCATTTAGTGATAGAGGGGGAAAAATTCAGGTTGTGTTTATGTGTTTGTGGCATCATTGAGCAGTTGGATAAGAATGCAGGGAAAGATCTAGGCTGGAGATAGAAATTTGGCAAATTTAGTAGATGATATTTAAAGCTCTAAGACTGGATGAAATCACCTTGGGGGTGTGTAGAAAGAGAACAGGACTGAGAACTGGACTCTAGAGAACTCACAAAATAATGAGCTTTAGATTGGAACTCTAAGGAGGAATTAGCAAAGATGACGAGTGGCCAGTGGGCTAGGCAGAGAAACAGAAGTGAGGATAGACTGTGAATGGGTGAGGAGAGGTGACATAGAATTCTAGGGCTTCCGGTGACTGATATAAATAGGGATAAAGGGCACAATAAGGAGTCCTGGAAATGGCATGGTATTGCTGTGAGTTTTTATGTTGAGAGGTTGGTTACCTTCAAGGATGCCCAGGGAAAGAGGTATGAATCTGTGTCCTCTTGTTACACCAGGAATAGTTGCTCTCTAATACTTTATTCAAAGGAAAGAGGACACTTTTTAAACAGCAGTTTTCTATTTCAAATGAGGAGGCTAAAAGTTAGTAGCAGGCTTCCATTGCTATGAAATTGATGGAACACTTTATAGCAGTGGTTCTTAACCTTGACTGTACTTTTAGAACTACTGATTCGTGGAGTCCCAACTCTGGGTTGATCTGATGTGTAGCCTGAGCAGTTGGACTTATTAAAAGCTCCTTTGGTGATTTTAATTTGCAGCCAAAATTGAGAACCATTGCTTTCTAGAAATACACTTTAATTCCAAATGAAATCCATTATTGGTTGTTCCACTAAATTTGACATATTTTCTCAAACAATTCAATAATTATGTACCATTTGCTTATTAGTTTATCTTACACACAGAAGCACATCCTTGGTTTAAAATTTTACAGCAGTTTGGCTTAAGTGAAAATTCAATCTGCTTTCATCCAAGCAAAGAATCTATACGTCATTAAAACCATAGCAAATTATTTAACCGGCTTAAACTTTGGTTTATTCATTCTTTAGAATCATGAAAGTCCTTATGCCTTAAGATTTATGTGAGAAAAAAGTTAAATAAGCTAATAGGTGTAAAAAGCATTGTATTATATCAAGCCAAGTAAAAAGCAAGCACTTGGTGAGCTTGGGCCACAAAAAGAATTGAGTAAAAGTGAAAATCTTATACTTTCTTTAGGTACCTATACGTGTATTTTTGGACCTCTCTTCATTGCCCTGCACACCTTTAAGCAAGCCAGTGGAACTCTTGAGACTAGATTTAATGACTCCATATTTGAACACTTCTAACAGAGAAGTAAAGGTAATGCAAAATGATAACTTCTGTCATATTCAGAATTATCTTAAACTAGGTAATACTTGATATATATATATATATACACATATACATAAAATATTTTGGGAAGATGTAAATGTTACTTTTCTGAATAATATTAGGTAAATACTAATACTGTTAGGCTTAGGTAAATACTATAATAGAATATTAAGTTGCATTGGGTGATTACCTGTATTTCTTTACCAAATTTGCATCTATAAAGGCAAAGACTTACTTATCTAAATCAGTTTACTCTGGTGAAATTTTCATCACTTCTCAATTTTCATAGGTACACGTTTGCAAATCTGGACAACTGACTGCCATTCCATTTTGGTATCATGTGCACCTTGATGATGAGATTATTTTGGATACTTCCAGTAAAGCTTCTCACTGGAAGCAAGCTGCAGTTGTTTTAGATAATCCTATCCAGGTGGAAATGGGTGAAGAACTTATACTCAGTGTCCAGCACCACAAGAGCAATGTCAGCATCACAGTAAAGCAAAAAGAGCAGTTTTCTGTTTAAGCAGAACAGCAAGCACACAGTTCTTCTTGATTTGTAGTGGGATTGTAATCATCAAATATGTGTGTATAAATATTTAATTCCTTGTAATGGTCAAATATTTTTAAAAATGACATTAATAAAGTATATTTAAAAGGCCTAAAAAGTACAATTATAAAAATATTACTACAGACTTCTTTTCTGAAAAAGACTCATTAAGTTTTCAAATTAGCAAACCTTTTTTCCTTGGTCATAGTTATTGTAGATTAAATTTGGCTAAACACTCTATATTCTAAAGCTATAAAGATAAGGCTTTTGAGTGTCATCGTCATTGTCGTATATCAAGCAAAACTTAATTTTTTAGGCATCTTGGCTTTTTTTCTTAAGTCTAAACATATAATTAGGATACATCGAAAAGCTAATTTCCACTGAAGACTAATAAGGGTTTTGGTTACCTGTAAATTCCAGTCTTGATTCTTTAAATATTTTGTATACAGCTGAAACATTTTCTCAGGTTTTATATTTTGGGAATGAAAACCTAAAATAATTAAAGTTGTAAACTAAATGTAATTAGGAAAGCAAAAGAGAGACAAAATCAATCTTTAGGAGGCAGCATTTCTGCTGGTCTACTTTGGCAAAGAGTATTAAAAAGCTGATAAATTCTAGACAGTTAAACCTATACTAGTATTTTTCAGTTTTGAACTGGATGCACAGTAAGATATATAATACTTGATCCAATCATTAAAGACCTGAAAAGGAGAGATTAAGAAAAATCATACCTTTTATAAGCCACAAAGAAAATAGGACATACCTTCTCTCCACATTGCCTATTCTCATTGCCTCTAGTATTATACATCTGGGCTTTGCTTTCAATAGAAAAATTTAATTTATAATAGTTATCAGAATAAAGACTTTGTACCTAATTACCGTGAACCAGTATAAATGTATGTGAATGTGTGTGTGCATAAAATATATAAAGCAAAAGTTTTGAGAGAAATAATACCCTTTGCAACAGCATATTAATCTTGCACTTTATTTTCAGTATAAAATGTTAAACATGAGATTAAAGATGGCAGCATGAGAGGTGAGAGAAAAGCCTCTTCATAAAACCACATATAATAGGGAAATAATAAAACTAATCCTGAAAGAGCAACAGGAAAGAAGGCTGTGCCAGACTGCATGTACCTGGAGAAAAGAACAGACCTTATGGAACAGGGTAATGTACCAAAGCCGTGATCCGGCGGGACCCAGGGCCTTCCCTCATCCCAGCTCACCGGTGGGAGGAAAAGAAATGGAGAAGGGAGTGGAGGCCTAGGACTGCTTGAAGACCCAGCACAGGAGATCTGCTCGGGAAGCATGAACTTATATTGCATGGTGCTCTGGAGATTAGTGGGGTTGGAAAGCTAAGACATGCGGAATACCTGGAGAGACCGATATTCCAGCTGCTTGTGGAAAACAGTCCACACACAGCTACTCTGGGACCAAAGAAAGGCAGGCAGTCTGAGAGACTACCTAACAGTGAGAGGGCTGCTAAAGGGACAAAGAATGCACAGAGCTTACTGTTCAGGAGAAAGGACAGGTGGACAAAATTGTCCAGGCACACTTTGTCCAGCAGGTTGGAAACTTTCAGGAGTTTCAGGAGCCCCTTCCCCTTGGCTGGCTTCATAGCACCAAGGCCCCCCACTGTGATATGTAGCCTGCTGCGCCTTCCTCTTGGCCAGCCTGCACCTGGCTTGCAAACTGGCAGCCCCTGCCCTGGCGTCAGGCCAGCCAGAGGGAAGTCGTGCCTATAGCAGCTACAAACGCAAAGCATAGAGGCTTACACCTGTGCGCTTGACCCACCAGTTCTGGCAGTGGAGACAGGCATAGCAGCTGGGAAGCAGGAAACAGCTCTTTCTTCCCCCCAGGCACTAGCGTCGCTCCAGAGATTAGAGCTTCTGGGCTCTAGAGGGCGCCACATAGAAATATGAAATGTCAAAGGGACCTGGTTCAGACCAAAATCTCACAAACCCCAGAAAAAGCCAAATGAAACAATTGACCAATCTTCCTGAAAGTGAGTTCAAAATAAAAATCATAAACATGCTCATGGAGGTACAGAAAAATATTCAAGAACTCAGGAACGAATTTAAGTCGGAGATTCAATCATTAAGAAATTCCATATCTGAAATGAAACATACAATGGAGGGATTTAAAAGCAGATTAGATGTAGTAGAAGAGACCGTAAATGGAATAGAAATTAGAGAAGAGGAATACAAAGAAGCTGAGCCACAGAGAGAGAAAAGGAAATCTAGGAATGAAAGAATATTGAGAGAACTGTGTGATCAATCCAAATGGAACAATATTTGCATTATAGGGGTACCAGAAGAAGAGAGAAAAGGGGATATAAAGTGTCTCTGAGGGAATTGCTGAAAAATTCCCCAATCTGGGGAAGGAGATAGTCTCTCAGGCCATGGAGGTGCACAGATCTCCCAACACAAGGGACCCAAGGAAGACAACACCAAGACATAATGATTAAAATGGCAAAGATCAAAGGTAAGGACAGACTTTTCAAAACAGCTAGAGAAAAAAAGATCACATACAAAGGAAAACCCAGCAGGCTATAATCAGACTTCTCAACGGAAACCTTATAGGCCAGAGGGGAGTGGCACAATATATTTAATGCAATGAAGCAGAAGGGCTTCGAACCAAGAATACTCTACCTGGCAGGATAATCATTTAAATTTGAAGGAGGGATTAAACAATTTACAGATAAGCAAAAGCTGACAGAATTTACCTCCCACAAACCATCTCCACAGTGTATTTTGGAGAGACTGCTATAGACTGAAGTGTTCCTAAGGCTAAATAGTGGTCACTAGAGGTAATAAAACCACAGTAAATAAAGTAGAACAATTAATTACTAAGCAGATGCAAAATTAAACCAACTACTCACAAAGTCAGTCAAGGGAGAAACAAAGATTACAGCAAATGATAATATATAAAGAATGGAGGAGGAAGAAAAACAAGGAAAAAAAAAGAACCTTTAAATTGTGTTTGTAATAGCATGCTGAGTGAGTAAAGTTAGAATGTTAGTAAGGAAGTTATCCTTGAACCTTTGGTAACTACGAATCTAAAGCATGCAATGGCAATAAATACCACCTCTTGATAATCACCCTAAATGTAAATGGTCTGAATGCGCCAAACAAAAGACAGAGTCACTGAATGGATATAAAAACAAGACCTGTCTATACACTGCCTACAAGAGACTCACTTTAAACCCAAAGACATACACAAACTAAAAGTGAAGGGATGGAAAAAGATATTTCATGCAACTAACATGGAGAAAAAAAAGCAGGAGTTGCAGTATTTGTATCAGACAAAATAGACTTCAAAACAAAGTCAGAAGAGACAAAGAAGGACATTACATAATGATAAAGAAGAATATAACCACTATAAATATCTATGCACCCAACATAGCACCTACATATGTGGAACAAATACTAACAGAATTGAAGGAGGAAACAGAATGCAAGCATTCATTTTAGGAGACTTCAACACTCCACTCACTCCAAAGGACAGATCAACGAGACAGAAAATAAGTAAGGAGACAGAGACACAGCACAACACATTAGACCAAATGGACCTACATCTACAGAACTCCACTCAAATGCGGCAGGGTACACATTCTTCTCAAGTGCACATGGAACATTCTCAAGAATAGATAATATACTAGGCCACAAAAAGAGCCTCAGTAAATTAAAAAAGATTGAAATTGCACCAACCAGCTTCTCAGACCACAAAGGTATGAAACTAGAAATAAATTACACACAAAAAACAAAAATCCAACAAACACATGGATGTTTCATAACATGCTCCTAAATAACCAATGGATCAATGACCAAATAAAAACAGACGAAGCCCTGTGTGGAGACAAATGACAACAATAATTCAACACTGCAAAATTCGTGGGACGCAGCTAAGGCTGTGCTAAGAGGGAAGTATACTACAGTACAGGCCTACCTCAGGAAAGAAGAACAATCCCATATGAACAAAACTAGAAAAAGAACAAATGAGGCCCAAAGTCAGTAGAATAAGGGACATAATAAAGATTAGAGCATAAATAAAATCGAGAAGAATAAAACAATAGAATCAATGAAAGTAGGAGCTGGTTCTTTGAGAAAATAAAATAGATAAACCCCTAGCAAGACTTATCAAGAAAAAGAGAGTCTAGACATATAAACAGAATCAGAAAAGAAAATGGAAAAATCACTATGGACACCACAAATACAAAGAATTATGAGAGAATACTATTAAAAATTGTATGCTAACAAACTGAGTAACCTAGAAGAAATGGATAACTTTCTAGAAAAATACTAACTTCCAAGGCTGACTGGGGAAGAAACAGAAACTCTCAACAGACTAATTATCAGCAATGAAATTGAATTGGTAATAAACCTATCTAAGAACAAAACACCTGGACCAGATGGCTTCACCACTGAATTTTATCAAACATTTAGTGAAGACCTAATACCCATCCTCCTTAAAGTATTCCAAAAAGTAGAAGAGGAGGGAATAGTTTCAAACTCATTCTATGAGGCCAGTGCAACTCTAATACCAAAACAGGCAAAGACACCACAAAAAAAGAAAATTACCAATATCACCAATGAACATACATGCAAAAATTATCAACAAAATATTAGCAAAGTGAATTTACAACTACATCAAGAGGATCATCCATCCTGATCAAGTAGGATTTATTCCAGGGATGTTAGGATGGTACAATATTCAAAAATCCATCATCATCCGCCACATCAAAAAAAAGGACAAAAAACATGATAATCTCGATAGATGCCATAAAAGCATTCAACATCAATTCATAATAAAAACTCAACAAAATGGGTATAGAGGGCAAGTACCTTAACATCATAAAGGTCATATATGACAAACCCACAGCCAACATCATACTTAACAGCGAGAAGCTGAAAGCTTTTACTCTTAAGATAGGGAACAAGACGAGGATGTCCACTCTCCCCGCTTCTATTCAACATAGTGCTGGAGGTCCTAGCCACGGCAATCAGACAACACAAAGAAATAAAAGGCATCCAGATTGGTAAGGAAGAAGTCAAACTGTCACTGTTTGCAGATGACATGATATTGTACATAAAAAACCCTAAAGAATCCATTCCCAAAACTATTAGATATAATATCTGAACTCAGCAATGTTGCAGGATACAAAATTAATACACAGAAATGTGTTACATTCCTATAACACTAACAATAAACTAGCAGAAAGAGAAATTGGGAAACCAATTCCATTCACAATTGCATCAAAAAGAATAAAATACCTAGGCATAAACCCAACAAAGGAAGTGAAAGACCTATGCTCTGAAAACTACAAGACACTCATGAGAGAAATTAAAGAAGATACCAATAAATGAAATATACCCCGTGCTCATGGACAGGAAGAATTAATATTGTCAAAATGGCCATCCTGCCTAAAGCAATCTACAGATTCAATGCAATCCCTATCAAAATACCAACAGCATTCTTCAATGAATTAGAGCAAGTAGTTCTAAAATTCAGATGGAACCACAAAAGACCCCAAATAGCCAAAGCAATCCTGAGAAGGAAGAATAAAGCTGGGGGGATTATGCTCCCCAACTTTAAACTCTACTACAAAGCCACAGTAATCAAGACAATTTGGTATACTGGCACAAGAACAAACCCATAGACCAATGGAACAGACTAGATAGCCCAGATATAAACCCAAGCATATATGGTCAATTAATATATGACAAAGGAGCCATGGACATACAATGGCGAAATGACAGCCTCTTCAACAGCTGGTGTTGGCAGAACTGGACAGCTACATGTAAGAGAATGAAACTCGATTATTGTCTAACCCCATACACGAGACTAAACTTGAAATGGATCAAATATCTGAATGTAAGTCATGAAACCATAAATGTAGGCAAAAATCTCAATAGAAACATGAGCAACTTTTTCTTGTATGCAACTCCTTGGGCAAGGGAAATAAAAGCAAAAATGAACAAATGGGACTACATCATGCTAAAAAGCTTCTGTACAGCAAAGGACATCACCAGCAGAACAAAAAGGCATCCTACAGTATGGGTGAATATATTTGTAAATGCCTTATCCAATAACAGGTTAACATCCAAAATATATAAAGAACTCACATGCCTCAACAACCAAAAAGCAAATAACCCAATTAAAAAATGGGTGGAGTATATGAATAGGGAATTCTGCAAAGAAGAAATTCAAATGGCCAACAGATACATGAAAGGATCCTCCACATCGCTAATTATCAGGGAAATGCAAATTAAAACCACAATGAGATATCACCTTACACCAGTTAGGATGGCATCGAAAAGACAACAACAAATGCTGGCAAGGATGCGGAGAAAGGGGAACTCTCCTACACTGCTGGTGAGAATGTAAACTAGTTCAACCATTGTGGAAAGTAATATGGAGGTTCCTCAAAAAACTCAAAATAGAAATACCATTTGACCCACGAATTCCACTCCTAGGAATTCACCCAAAGAAAACAAGTTCTCAGATTCAAAAAGACATATGCACTGCTATGTTTATTGCAGCACTATTTACAATAGCCAATATATGGAAGCAACCCAAGTGTCCATCAGTAGATGAATGGGAGAAGTAAATGGAATACTATTCAGCCATGAGAAGAAAACAAATCCTACCATTTGTAACAACATGGATGGAGCTAGAGGGTATTATGATCAGTGAAATAAGCCAGGCATAGAAAGACAAGTACCAAATGATTTCCCTCGTTTGTGGAGTATAACAGTGAAGCATAACTGAAGGAACAAAACAGCAGCCGACTCTAAAACTCCAAAAAGGGACTAGTGGTTACCAAAGGGGAAGGGTAGGGAAGGGCAGATGGGGAAGGAGGGAGGAGATTGAGGGGTATTATGATTAGTACACATGGTGTGAGGGGACCATGGGGAAGACAGTGTAGCACAGAGAAGACAAGTACTGACTCTGTGGCATCTTACTACACTCATGAACAGTGACTGCAGTGGGGCATGGGTGGGACTCGATAATATGGGTGAATGTAGTATCCACATTGTTTTTCATGTGAAACCTTTATAACAGCATATATTAATAAGACCTTAATAAACAATAATAAATAAATAAAAATAAACATACATCCTTGAAACTTAAAAAGTTAAACATGATCTAATTGCATTGTGATTAGCAATTAGATTAAGTAACATATTTTTCTCAAATAGCACCCACATGTCTTCTGACTGCAGCTGAATGGATAATTAAGACTACTCAGCCTAGATTTATGTCTTCTGACACCTTTAATAAGCACTGTGGAAAAGTAGGGTCCATTTCTATCACAAGTTTCTTTTGTATTCTTCTGTATGCTGGTTAATTATCTTAATCTCAAAGTCATGGCTAACCTACTTACTAATCTATTAGCAATGTCAGATTTTTAGATTAATTTTTTAGATTTTTATTTTTTATAATCATTAAATTTTTTTAAAAATTAAAAATTTTCAAATTAACAATGTATTTTTCAAATTAGTAAGATTGTGTCTTAGGTATTTTTTCTAATAGGAATATAAGATATGTATATCTTTTGTTGTAGGTATATCATCTTTAGCCCTAATAGAAATAAAGAATTTTTCTAACAGCCCTTAAAATAATGAAGTAATAATAAAAACAATAGCCTTTAAAGAACTTTTTGTCAAAACCCAAAAAAAGGATTTATAAATGAGACAAAAAGTTGCAGAAAATAAATGATAAATTCTTATTTATTGAAGACATCCAATTGAGAAATAAGAAGTAATTATCAGGTAAGCATATGGCACATGATAGAGTTCCACTAATTCATATTTCTCAATTATACTTTCTGCTAAATCCAGAGCATTAAATTCATGCAGCAGTGGTAGAAAGTTTTTTTGTTTTTTTTTTTAATGTAACCCCCTCTTGATAAAGCAATTTCCCAATTAGGAACATTTAGTCCACCCTCTTGATAAAGCAATTTAACATCAGGAACATTTAGTAGTCATTTTCTACCATTTGAGTATGTAATACTCTAATGCTAAGAAATCAATCTAGGTCTAGGATATTCAGACAAATTATTTGTGATATACAAAACTCAAGTTATATAAATCCAGTAGTTGTACCTGGCCTTTGCCTATCTTTGTGTTGAAATTTTCCATTTTTTATGGCTTGTCCCAAGCACAAAATCCTGAGCAATGCGATACCAGGTAATGAAGCAACACTAGTAGAGCAGTTTGCTTTGCACTGTTCAGGAGGCAACGGAGTTATCTGAACGTTCTCTTTTCTCTCCTGTAGTGTTATTACATATTTCATCAGATGAATTAGCTGTAGTAGGTGTAGTCTGGGGAGTCACAGTGTGTCCAAACCCTTGGTAGTGACCCATGGGTGAAGGTGGCACAGAAGAGGCAACAGAAATTGCATCTTGTGATGATGACGATAACAAGCTCGTATGTTCACTTTGATCTTGATCCTCAGGAAAAAATTTTTTCCTAGGATGTCCCATGACGGTCCTTCCTTTAAAGCAATTAAAAAGGTTTCCAAGTTAGCTGAAAGTTATTCTTACCACACTAAAAATAAGTTCCCCCTCTGCCCTCCCATCTGAAGAGCCTTTCTGTGACACTGCTTTAAACAAAGTCTTTTATCTCTTAAATAGCCACTAAATTTGACTATTAGGAGATTTAGTGTAGATCTATAATAACCTACCTATTTGGATGAATTAAATGGCTGATACTTACCAACATGCCTTACTTGTTCAGAAATATCATCCCGAATATCTGAAACATCCCACATGGCAAGAAAGGAATCAAAGCATGAACCCTCTTCTGCTTCTTGGACATACGGTTTATATGAGAAGGTGTAGTGATGAGCAATAGCAGCAAGGAACATCTCAATACAGATAATGAAGTCCTACAACATGAACAAAAACAAATCAGCCACCTTTGAATTTAAATCTAGTTTCGTAGGTAACTACGAAAAGCTATTTCAAAAGCTCTTTTCAAAAGTACTTCAGTTTTCATTAAGTACTGTTTTTTTTTTCATAAAGATTATATTCATTTTTCATTTTCTGAAATAATTATTTCTGATCTTTTCAAAATGAGACAAAATGTGAAAAATCTAAATCTCTACAACTTCAATCAAGTTTTAGCAAACTACAATACATCTGTAATTCGCTGCCCAAGGACTGGGAGAACACAAAGATACTGAGAATAGCAAAATCTAAGTTCTACTCCTGGCTCTACAACAAATTACTATAGGTTCCCATGGCCTCATGGGTAAAGTGAGGATAACAGCCCCATAACCTGCACACTGTCAGGTTTAGAAGAGAATATGTAAAAATGCTATTTTAAATAGGAAGGTTTTGTTGAATTCAGAGATGGGACTACTTACCTGGAGTCCTGTAGCCACAGCTTCTACAGTTTGCCATTCCCATGTATGCTTTTCAGAAATAACGCCAACTTTTACCAACAATGCAATAACTACTGCTTGCCTATATGTTAGGAAAAGGTAAACGCCAAATCTATATCAAGCATAAAATGAGCAGTTGTTTTAAAAATATGCCATTTAAAAAAGTTAACCCCAGCACAACCTGCACACCACCACCACTATGCCTTCACAGCAGTATCCTGAAGACAGTGTGTAATCCACATTAAATATATTTATTTGCTTTGTAAATTTACTCTTCTAACAGTTGCATCATGTGAATTTTGTATATGTATTCTTAGAACTTCAGTACTCGCTTTATTCATCTGTTTTGAAAGTGCACAATTAGACTTTAAGTTCTTATACTATGCCTGTTATATACAGTAAGCATTAAAAAGGAAATAAAGGACAGATATATAAATGCACATGTATTAATAGATTATTCAGATTATTTTTAAAAAACAGTTTGAAACCAGTCTTGTGTGAAATATTGCAACTAGAGACAAACTCAGAAGGGGTCTGACTCCACAACAGAGACATACTGAGCATTTCAAGCAAATCTAGGGATACGACCACATGTGAAGTTTAAACAGCTAATAATGAGATAGACAAACTTTCATAGTTACATACACAAAATACTCACTTGAATGTTGATAATAATGGTGGAAAAATTAGGAGCAACCTAATTTCTGTGTTTTATTGTGACATGGGCACTAATTAAATCATTCTTGGTGGAAGGATTTCAAGGATTTTTTTTCTTTTTGTATTATTTGTATATTGTTAAATTTGTTGTACTTGACAGGCCCCTATCACCCCACCCTGTACTAAGCTGGAATCAGGTATAGTTTTGCCTTTGGTTTTAAAATGTATTTTTACTGATGGACATATAGACATCATTAAATATTCTATATTTTTCTTCCAAACTGTAGAGTATTCTGTTATGAAAGGACAATGATTTAATGATTCCTCTAATGTAGAGACATTTAGGTTGTCTCAAGTTTTCTTCCAAAAATGTTATAGTGACCGTCTGATTATTTGTGAAAAACCAAGAAGGGCTAAAAGAATGGACTTTTTAAAAGGTATGTAAAGACATTTCAATTCATCTCCTGTATGAAGACTTTTAAGAATCCTCCCTAATCAACAGTTTTATTGCTCTTTAGAAAATGGGAACATTTTAGAGAAAGCAACACTTACCAAAAAGAAACAAAAACCACTAGCTTTACACAAAGAAATTTGCCAACCGGTTGGATTGGACTCAGTTCTTCCTTCAGGATTTTATAAAACAGCAGAAGACAGTACATGGCAAACTAGAAACAAGATTGACAAACTTATTCAGAAAGAATAAAGACTGTAATAGCAATATTAAAGTTATAAACCAGAGACCTGGTACAGAGTAATGAAATGTTTCAGACAAAATTTTCTAGGCTTTATTATGCTATTTTAGATAAACAAGCTTTCACTGTTTACTGTGGATGAATACATATGACATGGAATTCCTCAGAGGAGATGTACAAAATCTTCCTGAAAATAGTTTAAGTGTTCACTTTCTAGGACCCATAAAGACAACAATAATGACTGCCATGAATGGAAGAAAAGGCTCTCATTCAGCCAAATAAAAGCCCCACATCTATCTGTTTATTAATGGCTTTTATATACAAATTACCATTAATTTTATAAGGGTTGAGTTTACTAACTAGTCTATCTCACATAACTATGCACATTATTTATAAGAACACATTAAATAAGTACCATTTCAATAAAATTGTGGCCACAAAATCTGAAAGATTAGGCAAACAATTTCTGAGGGTAATATGCTAATCCAGCTGAACTTTTACAAAATAAATGCTTAAGACTTACTGTTAAGCTAATTTTAGAAATCAGCCATAATAATCTAGCGTAGTATTGTATAGCAATAAACATCTTCCTTGAAGTTTACTTTTTTCCATTAAAATATTATAAATTGCTCATTTAAAATACCTTAGATTATGAAGTAGTAAAGAAAAGTAAAAAGTTGTTTCTAGTGCCATCATCCAACCATTTTTTTCATACATAAGGCTTTAACAGGTATCCTCACTAAATAAAAATTTTGTTGCCTGATTTTTTTTCCACTTAAAGTGTCTTTCTTTTCTGTATGTTTCATAAGGATTATTTTTAAAACTGCCTATTTTGGCCATTGGAAGGACCTGTGTGCATTTAGTCTCCATCACTGGACTGTTTCTAGCCTTTTGCCATTACAAATAATAGGCTTCATATACAAAGATATTGAAAGCAAAAAAAACGTCTGGACATTTCATGAGGATACATTCAGATATGAAATTACTTATTCCAAAAAATATGAAATGTGGGAAAGCTTTGAATACAAAGACATTTCATTTTTATTATAAACTTCTAAAACCACACATGTATGCCACTGCATCGAAACTTATTTTGCTGACAGCATTAACTAAGGATTTTAAATAAAATGCTCATTCTTAAGTTGAAAGGATCAGATAGTTACATACTTAGAGAATTTCAGTTTCTAGAACATTTAAAAATCCAGCATTCTCAATTTTCCTTTAATTCCAAATACATGAGAATTTCATTCTCCCATTTTTACTCAAATTCTGTACTGTCATATACAAATCAGACATTTCTCTTACTAAATATGCCTAGTATATATATTTTTTGTTTTGTTGTGCTTTTATTTATAACATATTCATAAAACCATGCAATATGTACCTGAACCAAAGGAACAAACATGACCGATAGGTCAAGGTATAAAATCACCAAATAATTAAATAAAGATAATAGATCTTTATTTTTGTCTTTATTTTTGTATAAAAACATAGTCAACGTTTCTTCAAGTTCTTCCTGTAAATATTTCAAAACTGAAAATAACTAAGTTTTATTCTAAAGAAACTTTCCTTAAGAAGACTCAGTTACAGAAACTAATTTAGTACAATAAGATGAATATTTACTTACTAATTGTGACATATTGTTTATTATAACCAAGTATGTCCAAGCATTTGAAAAGCTAAAGTTTCCTTCATCGTATATACCAAGCAGCTCACAGATTCTAAAAAAATGACAAAAATGAGACTTTATGATTAACTAAATGAAGTATATTTTAAAATAAAGCATTGACAACAATACTTCTATTTAGAAATTTATTAAAAAGAACCTGCAGATAATCACTTTATTTTGGTCACAGAGGTGGTTCAAAACTTAGAACATTTTTCTAGAAATGAGTATTCCTCCAACTTGAAGTAAATCCAAAAGAAGACATACACTGAAGAAGAAAGGATATTAATTAAAAAAGAATTATGCCTAATTATCAAAAGCTTGATTATTAAAGCATATAATGCAGGTCTATAACTGCCAACTGCAATGTTTTCCCCCAAACTGTCTTACAGGTAAATTTTATAAAGACCCAGATCTAAGTATTAACTTACATGATTACCCCATTTTTAAACTGCATAGATATAAAGCATGCCTTCATAAATTAAGTGAATTAGTCTTAATTCTAAGGTGAATGTCACAGAATAATTGCTAAGTCAACGGCAAAATAAAGAATTGAGTGGTTTTTTCACCTTTCTTCCCATTCTCCCTCTGCAAACATGCAGAAGGTTAAATATGATTAGCACATGAAACATGTAAACTACCTGGTTTAAATTACTTGATGTTCTTAAGATACTTAGGCAACAGTATTACCAGGTAGCCTAATGATACACTATTGGAGCTCAGGTGTTAAGCCTCAACAGAATTTTTAAAAAAGAAAAATATGATTTCTTCCTCAGAATATAACACTCATATTCGAAGTTAACTATGTTAGAAAATAAAACTTAAATGAACCTAAAGTAAGTCTATTATTACTTCATTTAACAGATGTTCCTGGAAAGCAATGTGCACACTAAGTATTCACACAGAAAAGGAAGTATTTTTAAAATCTTTCCCAGAGAGCACTAAAGAATGTTATTAAGAAGAATTCTGTGGTGATAGGCCTGTAAACGGTCACTTTATTTCAATATAGAAAGGTTTCTACATACTGTTTTTCATAATAGCCTAGACCTGTGTTAAAAACAATTACTGCTCTTTTTTTACTCAGTTGTACCCATTTAAGAGCCTGAGGATTAAAAAAAATAAATAATTTAAGTTCTATGTACTTACAAAGCAACAATGGTGGTGAACGGTCTGACAACAGTGTACTGCAAGACACCCAGTTTGCACCTGAAGAGCAATACTCTGCCAAAGAGAAAGGACTCAGCATTTCAACCACTCATTTAAATGGTACCAGATTTTCCCCAAAGCTCCCCAATTAAAATGTCTTTGACAGATACCATCTTTATTTCCTTCAGTCATTCTCAATGGCAACTAGGGAAGAACATAGATGGTAGCAAATAAATTATTTCCATACTATTTTTAAAATTATTTGACAACTATTATCTGAAAGATCTCCCTTTCTGTGTACAGTCTCAAAGTCCTGTATGGAGCAACAGAGAACAAAACAAACAGAAGTGGGTCCCTGAGTGTTTCTGGAAGAAACACTGAGTAACAAATGAATTACATGAATGTTGTATGTGAAAGTATATTTAGAATTATTACTTACACTTAGGATTCAGTTTCAAGTTTGGTATTTAAATATCATTCCAGGGACTGTTATTGACTAGATACCTTGAAAGGGCAAAACCAATATTCAGCATGAAACAGTTTTTATCCTATTGCCTGGCTCACTCAGTGTAGGGGAAAACTCACCTGAGAGCCTTGTGGAAGTTTTCTTAAAAGACCAACTTGCTCTGAAGGCAAATGCTTATTCTGCACTCCTACCAGGAGACTGGTTATCAATGTTATGCATTATTAATCCCCTAGCTTAAGAATTACATCTAGACTGAGAGTCTGGCATACAGACCATGAGTTGCTGCGTTACTAGGACTGAATAAAAAACTGTTGGGGTTTTCTGTGCTGGGGGCCCTTTCTGTGCTGAGGTGGTTCACGCCCACTTAACAACTAAGAGTGCCCCAGGTGGTGGTGGGCTTTGGAGGTGCACTTGGGCTTGTCCCAAGGCCTCTTAGTGAGGCTGCCCTGGCGCTACATGCTGTGCTTGTACCCTTTACAATGCCAAGTGAAGCTGGAGCCGGGCTAAACCTATAGTGTTCTTTCTATGAGCTGACTGTCAAACCAAACCTGAGACCACTAAGGTGACTATGCAGGTGGATTAAGCAGTCAATTAGATACCTTTGAAAGCTGTGGAGAATTAATAAACTGGAAGATATGTCTGAAGAAATTGCCAGAATGTAGCAAAAAGCTGAGACAAAAAGATAAATGTAAGAGAGTTACAAAGAACATAATAGAATCAGAAGGTCTGACGTATGTTGAGTCAAGGAAGAGAGAGTAAAGGAAAGTCAAAATCAGGAGAGATTACGGCTGAGAGGTTTTCAGAACTCATGAGACAGAAATCTACAGATAAAGATACTCTATAACTTAGCAGGACTAAAACCAAAAAAACAACCGAGATACTTGATAGTGAAACTGCAAAGCATCAACGCAGAGAGGGTCTTAAATGCTGTTGAAGACAGGTCACCTATAACAGAATGACAATCAGGCCAAAGAAGAGGCTATATACTAACAACTGAAGCCAGAATTAGGTAGAATAAAATCTGTAAATGCATGGAGAAAATTCCTGTCTGAATTACATCCAGCAAAACTATCCTTCAAGAATGAGGGCAAAATAAAGACAACCTGTGGGTAAGTTATATCTGAGAAAATGTGACACTGATACAGACACTACAGGAACTTTTAAGGTCCAGTACTTCAGAAAAAAGAAAGGATCCCAGATAGATCTGAGATGCAAGAGGGAGTGAGGAGCAAGTAAACAGTTAATAAGTGTAGTTAGATCTTCAAATGACTTCAAACAAAATTTATTTAAAAAAGGTGTGTAACTTTTAAGATTAGATTTTAAGTAGTCATGGTCAAAATTTACTCATTAGCCACATTAAGACTAGAAATAGAAACTATAACTTCTAAACTAGTAGTGAGAAAAAACTAGAGTAAGAAAAACAACAGCAAAAGAATGTAATCAACTACCACTGGGCTCTGGAGTCGCACCTGTAATCAAACACACTGATTAAGCTGCAGTGAAAAATACTCATTCCATAATAGGTATAACAGTCACACTAAAAGCGGAAATAATTGAAGACTATAGAGTTCTGCTACTAAATGAACTATGAAGAAGCTTTTGGTTTGTAAGGTTTTTTTTTTAAATTTTACAATTGTAAATAGGAATCATAGACCTATATTTATTAAAAGTTAACTGAGTAACCAAATATATAAATTAAATAAATTAATTAAATTTATAGCATAATTTATTAAATAGTATAAGTATTTACTATTTATAAAACAGATTTGTCTGTTTATATTAGTATTCTTCAAATGTTTGAAAAACCTTAAAATTACTAAAATTTTTACAAAATAATTAGGAGGAACCTCTGGAACTTCCTCTCTCAAAGTATTAAATGAACATTTACATGTTAAAAAAGGGCTAAATGCAATGTGGATTACTGGACTGGATACTGGAACAGAAAAAGGACATTAGTGGAAAAACTTGGGAAATGTGAAGAGTCTGCAGGTAATATACCAATGTTATTTCTAAGTTTGTCAAAGGTACCACGATTGTAGAGGATGTTAATATTAGGGGAAGCTGGATGAACGGTATACTGGAATTCTGTCTAGTCTTTGAAACTTCTCTGTAAATTTAAATTTATTCCAAAATAAGTTCATTAGAAAGTATTCAATGAGAAAAGGAAAGAGAGGGTGAGACAAACAGAAAACAAAAACATGACAAGATTATAAATGAAGTGATGGATTATCAGATTAAACTTAAAAAAGTGATGCACCTAAAACATGGAAAGGATGCAAGTAAAAGGCAGAGAAAGATATTCCAGGCAAATACTAAACAAAGGTAAAGTGGGATAACTTAATATCAAACAAGATTACTTTTTTAAGACAAAAAACATTATTTGGAATAGGAACAGCATCAATATGCAAAAACCAATTACCTTCCTATACAAGGGCAGCAATTAATTAAAAAAACATACCATTTATAGTAGCAATAAAACATAAGATGTTTATAAAGTCAACAAAAGATGTACAAGACTGATGAGAAAAGTAAACTTTATTAAAAGATAAATGAGCTGGATTAAGTAGAAAACAAAACCATATCCACAGAAAAGAAGACTTAAAAATCATGAAAGCTGTCAATAAAGACTGAATTCAATTAGACTAAAAAATTCCAACAGGTTTTTCAAACAACTTGAGAAACCAATTCTAAAATTCATATGTAAGAGCAAAGACCCAAGAATAGCCAAGAAAATTGGGTTGGGGCACTTGCCCTTCATATTAAGGCTTATTAATGACCTATAGTAGTTAATGCATGGAATTGGTCTTGGGACAGAAAAGTTAACCAATAAAAGAGAAAAAAAAAAAAAGACCACCAATGATCCATACATATGGAAACTTACATATGGCAGAGATGGCAATATAGACCAGTCAAGGAAAAGGGAGAGAATGGTGCTGTAAGTTAGCCAATGGAATCAAATGAAACTGCATTTCTACCTCACACAACATACATATAAAAATCAGTAAGTGTTTGTAAGTCTTGGTGGGAAAATTGTGAAACATTTAGAAGAAAAGCACAGGAGAATATTATGATCCTGCGTTGGGAAGAACTTCTTGAACAAAACACGAAAAGTACTGACTATAAAATAAGATTGATAAATTCAATTATATAAAAATTCAAAACTTCCATTTATCAAAAGATATAACGAAAGTGACAAAGCATGTCAAAAACTGCAAAAAGAAATTTTTGACACATATTAAAGAATTAGTATCTAAATATATAAAGATGTCCTATAAAGACACAAGACAGACAGGTGGACAGCCCATTAAAAAAATGAGAAATAGAAACAAACATTTCTTAGTAATGGAAACACAAATGGCTAGTAAATATGAAAAGCTGCTCAACCTCATTAGTTATCAGGGAAATCCAAACTAAGACTACAGTGATATACCATTTTATACCCTCTTGGTAAGCAAACATAAAAAAGTCTGGGTGAGGATGTGGTTCAATTACAAGTACTTTATACTGTTGGTGGGAGAGTAATTTGGTACTGCCACTTCAGAAAACAATTCACCACTAATGAATTGAACAAAATATAAAGACCTAGCATATCCACTACTACGTATAAACCCTAGACCAACAGTTCTCAGTGTCTGATTTGATTTAGTGGTCTGTGACCCCAGCTTTAAAAACAAAAGGGAGGAAGGATATACATGCTAAAGATTAGTACTGTTTCATGAAAACACTTGTTTCATAAGTGTACTAAATCATTAAGTGGAATGTTTTCCTTTCTCTCATGAACATACACAAAATTTAATGTTCATTAAAAAGAAAACATGTGCTACGTTACCCAAAAAGCAGACTTAGTTTTTATCATCTAATGACTGCAAACTCGCCATGCCATTTGCATCTTAAAATCAAAACATTATACTGAATTACCCAAAACAGCAATAGCCAGACTAATTATCAGATATGTAACAAGTTATCTAATAGAGGGAGACTGGCAACCTAAAATGTATTTATATACAAGAGAATGAGAAGTTTTATTATTACTAAAATCACACCCCTAAACCACAGGACTTTGGTAAACAATGTCTTTTCAAAGGAAAGAAAACCTTATAATTATGGATGCACTGCTGACATTATTTAGGCAGCATTTGTCAGAACTCAAAAGTCTCAAATCAACACAGAGATTTAACAATATATAAATGTAACTCCCTGCATAGTTAGGGACAAATCAATTGCACAAGCACAGAATAGGGGAATTTTGACCAGTAGTATCTTTTGAAAAAGGTTTGGGGTTTTACTTGAACACCAGCTAATTAGAATAAGCCAGTCTGAAAAGACAGCTGGAGCCTCATCTAAGGTTCTCTATTAATAGGAAAGTCCTGATCAAAGCCAAGCCATCATCATCATATTTACTGACCACTGCCATCTCTTCCACCCTTGCCCACTTCCAGGTAAGGGTACGAAGAGCACAGTAATATGCTTCCTTATCTGACAAAGACTCTCCTTGACCAAACTTTAGACAGGGCTCCTCTGAGCCTTCTTTTCAACCAGGCATCATTCTTGGATCTTTGCCTGCCTAAGTCAGTGCAAGCAAGGAATCTGCTAAACCATCTGCCCTTACCTTTGATATCCGATTACCTAAGACACCTGGTCAAGCTCCTCATCCCTCACTGGGTGTTTAAGTACCTGGCCTACCTTTAGCAAGAATGTCCTGTTAGGCCAGTTTAGAGAGAATATCCCTACCTTTGATGTCTCCTCTTAGTAATTTCTATCCAATGACCACCTCAGTCTGCTCACTGGCTATAAATCTCTATTTGTCTTGTATTTGGAATTGAGCACAATTATCTCTCCTGCTTCTCCAATCTATATTAGTTTTTCCTTACGATCCTTTTTCATAGTCTGCTGTTCTTTTTCCTTCATAGCTTTTCCTAAAATAAGTAACTATATTATTTGTGTCTTTACTTAATTCCTAATCACCCTAACCAAACTGAATTCCATCAGTTCATGTAGTAGGTGTAATCTTAGCTTCAACTGAACTTTTCTGTCTGTATTTTCTCTTACTGTCTTGCATGAATGTACAGTAAGGCCAACTAACCAATTACAAATTACTATAATAAAGTGCTAATTGTTGCTATTTCATATCATATGCTGTTTCTGCACCTAGACTATCTTCTCCCCAAGTCTCAGACCTGATCTTGCTCTTTACTAGCTATGTGATCTAGAGTAATTTAATCTCCATAGACCCTGGTTCCCAATTATAAAAGGGCGACTAAATGATTTCTAAGATGTTTTTCCTCACAATATTTTAACTTTTCTATTTAGGATGGGTAATGTAAAAGACACTAACTTCTATGTATGGATTATAAAAACGTGTTTTGTTAGTTTTCCAACTTGGCTATGAACTACATGAGTCTTAGACTTTTTGTCCTACTCACAGTGTTTAACATACTGCTTTGCAGAGAACTGATACTTAAAAATTCTGCTTAAATAAAACCAAAACATAAAAGAATTAAAACCAAACATACGTACTCTCCCATAGTCCATGGTGGACAGCAACATAAAGGAGGGAAATGTTTCTGCTGATCTTTGGCCTCAAGGATTAATACCAGATTTGGATACCGGTTAGTCAGATAATTGGTAAGAAATCCCATGAAGTTGTAAATGACATAAGCTTCATAACATTCTCTGCAGGTATCCACATATATTGCAATGCTAGGATATTTCAAAGCTATCCACTACAAAAAAAGCACAGATGTTAAAAATAGTTGCAGCTAAGATAAAATGAATTACCAGTATTAATTCATGGTACTCACAATAAGCTAAATGTAAAACTTGAGATGTCTTGTCACATACAACAAATTTTCTAAAATTTATCATTATGATGACTACCAGACTATCTATGAAATGAATTTTTAAGAGCAACACACATCTTGGATACTGGCAAACAAAAACATTCATGTTTGGGACTAAATAATGAATATGAAGAGAGAAGTTAAATTATATACTTGGGGTCCTAAATATAATCTGAAAATTTTATTGACATGATCAAAGAAAATGCTGTTAAAGACATTTCCTTGCTTTTTAATCAAATTAAAGGAAAGCAGCCATCAGTAACAACTGCATGTGTTAGAATCCATTGGAGAAGAAGGGTTTTTTTTCCCACTGGTCCAAATAAAAAATTGAATAAATAAAATGGCTAATAATGTAATTTAAATATTACATTCTTTAAAAGACTAAGAGCTACTAATCTGAAATATTAAGATTATATAAGCGAAGAAAACAGTTACAGATTTTTTTTTTTTGAGAGGGCATCTCTCATTTATTGATCAAATGGTTAACAACAATAAAATTCAGTATAGGGGGGTCAATGCTCAATGTACAATCATTAATCCATCTCAAGCCTAATTCTCGTCAGTCTCCAATCTTCTGAAGCATAACGAACAAGTTCTTACATGGTGAACGAATTCTTACATAGTGAATAAGTTCTTACATGGTGAAAGTACAACGGCATTCATCACAGAAACTTTCGGTCTTGATCACGCATTATGAACAGTTACAGATTTAAAAAAAATTAAAACATCTGCCATTTCAGTTGTCATACTATGTATTCTTTATCAACATTAAAAACAAGGGAACATTTTCATTTTTCTTACTAATCTGATGCATTGCTACCAAATGACATTCCATTTCTTTAAGCATTTTGTAAGTATAATTAGTATCAAACAAGTTCTTAGTTAATGAAATAAAATGAAACATACTTACACTATCTAAACTGTATATGGGTACCATCCAAAGAATCCTAGAAGCAAAACACAAATTAAAAATGTCTTACATCATATTTATGAAATAAGCCAACAAAACACTAACATCAAAATATGTTAAGACTTACCTTATTATTGGTTTCTGTAGTTCAGGTTGTGTATAATGCACTAAATGTTGCAATATCCCCCAGAGTGATATAGGTATGGTCAACAGCAAAAAGATAACAGCAATAAACCAAGCCTTGGTGTGGATTCCAACCTTAAGAGGTAAAAAACAAAGTTAGTATAAATTCTCTAATATTAAACAAAAGAGCTAACCAAGTACTTTTATTTCTCAAATTTTCATTTGATTATTAATGAGGCTTGATATTTTCCAAATGACTCATGGCTTTCTTTATTTACCCTTCAGTTCAGCTTGTCATTTTGCAGAGGGTTGGGGCACATTTATCCTTGTGGAGTCGAGCACTTTTCCTCATGGGGCCTTTTGTAATAGCACTGTATGCATTAAGGATTATTAACATCATAAACTACAAATAAATGAAAGGATATTCCATGCTCATGGATTGGAAGAACACTGTTAAAATGTCCATACTACCAAAGCAATTTACAGATTCAATGAAATCCCTATCAAAATAATAATAGAATTTTTCACAGAACTAGAATGAGGAACCCTCAAATTTGTATGGAACCACAAAAGACTCCAAATAGCCAAAACAACTCCAGGAAGAACAAAGCTAGAGGTGCCACACTCCCTCGTTTCAAACTATGTTACAAAGCTACAGTAATCAGAACAGTATGGTACCAGCACAAAAACAAACACATAGGTCAATGGTACAGAATAGAGTGCCCAGAAAAAAACCTACACATATGAGGTCAATTAATCTGTAATAAAGGAGGAAAGAATATACAGTGGGAAAAATCATTCTCTTCAATAAATGGTGTTGGGAAAACGGGACAGCTACATACAAAAGAACAAAACTGGACCACTATTTTACACTATATACAAAAGTAAATTCAGTCTAGGCTGGCATGTGCATACAGTGAGACAACGAATTTGACCGGTCTGTACTGTTGGAACTCAACTAGGAGTTGGGAGGGGTGCAAGGTGTAGCACTCCAAAATCTTATGACTATAGACTATCTACGGTTAAAAGAACATATGGGATGTGAACAGATCCCAGAAATGGGCTCCTTTAATTTGTCTGATTTCTCTCAGACTGTTCAAGTACAGTTGGACAATATCCATCATATCATAGACAAATTTTCACAAATGCCTAGGGTGCCTAAATGGTTTTCTTGGCTTCACTGGAGATGGATAGTAATTATAGATTTGCTTTGTTTATGTCACCGTATTCCTATTATGTTAATATGTGTGTGCAAATTAGTTAGTAGTTTAAAACCTATACATACTTAAGGTACTCTACAAGAAGATATGTCAAAGAAATAATCAATCCTCCC